AAGACACGAAATTTATCAAATTTCAGACAGTTGCAAATTCTCCATCGTCAAGTCACCTTTATTTCCTTTCTAGACTGAGTTTGAAGTTTCGAACAACTAACTTTGCCTGCAAACTATTGCAAATCAAGTCTTTCTAAGCATCTGGCATATCCTCAATTGTCGCAGGGACTTTTACCGAAATGTGACTGAGCAATCAGGGAAATGTCAAGGAATTTCATTTCCTAAATTCTGTGGTAACCCTGCCGGTAAATTTTCTCACTTCCTCGCATAGTGCGCAGAAAAGAGGAAAAAATTTGAGATGATCAAGGCTTATCGGTAGAGATGAGCCTGAAGTTTGCAAATGGCTAAATTTTGCCCGAGAGCAACCTCAAAATGCATGTAAAGAGTGATGTATTTCCTAGGAAATATCCAAGCTCCACCTGGACAAGAGGAGGTCAGGCCACCCCTAAAATGAATTGCTGTGCCTGAAAGGAATTTCGATGTACTTAGTCAAGGATTGTCGGACAATTCAGGGAATTTTCGTGTGCGTTTAGCCAAGGCTTCTTGATGTTGTTAAACAGAAGTGTAGTGTACGAATCAAGGTTGTTTTCGTCAAGGCGGGCAAATCTCGCGAATTTTCGCATACGGAATTTTCGCATACGTAATTTTAGCTTCTTCGAGTAAAATCAGCGAAGTAGTGGATACAGGGAAACCCTGAAAACTCTTTAAAAAGGCAGGGACTTTAAAAAACTCGAAGGTCAGGAATTTTTACCGGAGATCAGGGAATGTCCTCATTAGAAGGGGAGGTTGCATTGAGCGATTGGGTCAGTTTTTCAAAGTCAGGGAATTGGGCCGAAGTTAGGCAAGGATTACTTTTTATAAAAATCAGAAGAAAGTCGAGAATGTTTAACATTTGCGCTCGCCGCCATCCTGACTAACGAAGCAAAAATAATGTCAAAGGGTCGAAAGCTAGAGGCGTAGGTGTGTGATCGTGTGCATTGTGACTCAAAATCTTGGAATAACGATGTGCAAACATTCTATTTTGGAGCGTAAGCTCGTTTTTGAACCCGTGCTGGAACACCGCACGTGCGACCGCAGGATTATTTCTTGCCAAATTGAAATATATGAAATTTCGGAGAATGTCGCATCCGGATTGAAAATCTATGTGGAGAGAATAGATTGTCAGACGCACGCACGTAAGACTCGTGCCCTTCCTGGTATCGACAGCAGAGCGTAGTGGGTGCCCTTTGACGTCTGAATTATTTAGGTATACGATTTTATTTTTCATTAGTTTGGAAAGCGATAAAATTCTTCACTAAACGAAAGATCATTGATTTTAGCTAGATTTCGAAGAAATATCTACCTTTTGCAAACGGTACGACCTCGGAATTTTCGCTCAAAGAGCATCTATTTCGAAGCCCTGAGCTGAACAATTACGAACTTTTGCGACCGTCCTTTTCCGGAACAATTCATACGATCAAAACGCATGGTTCAGATCGAGTTTCATTTTCGGTGAAAATTTTTTCATTCCTCACTTTAGAAATGACAAGGCCATGAGGGGATGATTTTTTTTTAACTCGTCCGATCCTTACCGCTGGTGCCTCAAGACACTCGTCTCGTCTTGCCCTTCAAGATAATCTAGACTCACCTACCCTCTAAAACCACCCCTTATCCTGAAAAGTTCATGTTCAAGAGGAGGATGATTTTTCAAACTCTTCCCATCTCAGCCGCCGATACCTCAAAACACTCGTCTCATCCTGGCGTTCAAAATAACCCATATTCATCTACCCTCTAAAACCACACTTTTCCCTGAAAAGTTCAAGCCTAGGAAGGGGATGATTTTTCGACTCATTAGGCTCATTAGGTATTTACCTATTTTCACTGAATTGTTCGGTCGAAATCTAACTATCTTTTGCTGGAAAGCGTTTTTTACAAGTTTCGGAAAAAACTAGGCAAATTCTAATTCAAGAAACTTTTGTCCTGAGTTTAGTAGTGAAAAAACTGCTCTATTTTTAGATTCCACTTCTTGAAATGAAAACTGACGGTTGAGATAATTTTCTCTCTTTTTAATGTGACTAGCTCACGGTGAGAATCATTTACTTTGAAACTAATGTTTTTGTTTCAATAAGTTCATTCTACCGTACAGTTGACCCTAAATTTTCAAAGTTCATCTTCCATTTATTTACTTATTCTAGTGCGTGCTTACCGCGCAGTTTACTCTGTTTTGAATACTTTGTCCTTCACTCGCAGAGCGTCATCATTTTAAAATCTAAAATCTTCAGTAGGTGTACATTCCCCTCCTCACTTCGTCCAGACGATCTAATTCCCTTCATCCCACTTTACTTTAAATTTTCACCTCGTATTGAAAAACTCAAAGTCGGAGAACAACGATCCGGGCCGGGTTCAGGGTAGGTGCATGAGGAGCGTCATCACAACCAGGGCGCTGAAATGAGAGGGGAGGAAAAAGAGAAGAATGAGGAAGAGGAGGGGAGAAAAAATGAAGAGTATCGATAAGTATCGAATTTATCGGGGAGCAAACGAAAAAATTATGAAAGAAGAAACATAAATGTGGTAAAATAATCTTAACTTCCGCCGCCACGTCGACCGCACTGTGTTTGACGCAATGCGGGTAGTATTCATGCAGTCTTGTAGGCGCTGTGCGTTTCACGCCGACTAGGTATGTACTCTAACGCCGACCCCTGACCGCTTTGTGTTTAACGCAATGCGTGAAGTATTCATGCAGTCTTGTAGGCGCTAGTATGTGTTACATGCCGCGCCGAGGGTTCCTCCTTTTCATCTCGTCAAGTCCTCGTCATCATTGCTCCCTGCGCAGCGCCGCCGCTCCAGGCCGAATTGCGTGTATGGTTTATCTCTTAACTTGACTAATGAAAGGCCCTGTCTCTCGTATCACCGAAAGACGACAAAATTAGAAATTACTAAACTTCTACTCTCGGGAAATAAGAGATTCTGCCGACTTTTCTCATTTTTAATTTTTTTCTGAATCCGATTTTTTTTATATACCTACATTTGAAAAAATTGCAAAATTTGCTGCTCCCTAAAACCGCCATAGGCCGCGGCCCAAGTGGCCACCTTCTAAATCCGGCCCTGGTTGCCTCTGGTGGGTGCTCCTATGTACGAGTCTCTCTAGGGCCCAGTGGTCATACTTCATACTCCCTTCACGAGGGTACGTTCTCTAGCTCTAGTGTCTAGTCAGATTGATGAGAGAGTGGAAGAATGGGGGCTCCGCGCAGCAATTATCAGCCGCCCGCACAATACCAATCAGCCGCATGACTCAACATTACACCGTTGCCGAGTCGTCCAAGAACCATCGATGTGTTACACGCAAAATTTCAGGGGATTCTCCATGAGCGGCAATATTTGTCGTCCGGCGCACCGTGATGATTCACGTTCAAAAGTTCACACCGACCGCGTGATCATTTGAACTCCCATTGAAATACGGGCAGAGCTCGGACTTCTTTCAACTATCTGGAGCGAATCGGGGCGCGGCATCCACGGAAAGCAATTTGAGGTTCCAGTTGGGGATTCTTTTAAGGCGAGGGAATGGGTCAATTGCGCTGGTCATGGAATCGTGTTCAGGCACACTGCGCATCACTGTAGGCAAAATGCGCCAGAAAGGGCCGTTCAAGCACTAATTGTGGGGGTCCAAGCTTGATTTAATCGAGTCCGAATAAGAAGAAGGGGGAGGGGGTGAAGCGTAGTATTACGTAAGTCTCCCATGCTTTATTAATAATATTTTCCATCAATAGTAAAATTGTCCAGCTATTTTACAGGATTTTACAAGTCTACCTTGCTAAGGAAGAACGCCGTATGAACTCGAACCTTCAGGCTGTGCCAAATTTCCTTCGATAAAACGCGAATTTCTTGGTAAACCTCTGCATATTTTTCTTCAACTTTTCAGAAAATTTTGCTCACAATTTCACGTTGAGTTCCTGAAAATTTCGAAGACAAATATTCATAACTTTTCTCAAAAATGAAAATTTTATTGGAGGAAAGGCGACTCTTGAATGTTCATACGACGTTAGCACGGCAGAATCATTTTCATGTTTGATTATGTAACACACAGTCAATCTACATATCTTCCTGAAATGTTCTGAACTCTTTTGTGAATAGCATGGTTCCAAAGACTCATTTTGTCGCTGCTCTGTGTCGAAATTCTTTCAAAATGGCCAACAAATTCGCGGTTCACGATCACAATTTATTTTGGAGAGGGTAGCCCCGTCCCCCTTCCCGCGTCTCCCTAGCTACATCCAGAGCGGAATGCCAATCCCTTTTTATATCCTCTCTCGCTCCCCCTCCTTCTCCTAACTACACCGAACAAAAACCGTGAAAGCCGTGAAGCCGTTCCGGCCGTGAAAGCCGTACATGCGGGCTATAATGATATATAGACATACCGTTCGCGTTCCGGGCTCAGAGGCCGAAAGTTCCGAGCGTGGCACTCGGAGCAGTCGAAGCTACGGCTCCAGCACCCGGAAGTTTCGGCTTCTGAGCCCGGAACGGACGGTATGTCTATACGGCCGTGCCAAGGAAAAACGCCGTATGGACCTTCAGGCGTTGCCACATTTCCTCTCATGAAACGCGGATTTCCTGGTAAATTTATGAATATTATCCTCCCAATTTTTCAGATAATTTATTTCGCAATTTTACCTGAAGATTCTGGAAATTAAATGGAAAACTATTAATAACTTTCCTGAAAAACGAAAATTTTATCGAAGGAAATTTGGCAACTCTCGAATGTTTATGCGGCGTTCCTCTTTAGCCCTGCAGTATGTAGCCCGTAATTTTTACTCAGTGTAAGTAACCATTTTGTGTGGTATACCTTCATTTGGACTACATTTTGCAATTTGGAACTATAAATTCTAGCCCTGTTTAAAAACAACGTATGTGCCATAGTTTTCCTTTGCACATAAGTGTTTCTCCAGTAGAGCCAGAATTCATAGTTCCAAATTGCAAAATGCAGTCCGTTTCTCGACTTGTTTGACGGAAATTCTTTGTGTTTGCAGGCAATCCCGATCCTGGAAAACACATTCCGGCTGCTGAACAAGTTCTACACGGACCGGCACCCGGCGGTGCTGCGGGCGCTGTGCCTCCTGGTGGCGTGCTGCCACGCGGCCCGCTCCCCTGACACGGAGCGCTACGCGGGGATCGCCCTCCGCCGCTTCCAGGGCGTCTCCGACTTCGACCTCCTCCAGTACTACGTGCCGCTCCTCCAGCTCTGCGCCACCCTGGACTGGACCCGCGCCCACAAGGAGCACAACTACGGCACCATCATCAAGGAGCGGCTCGCCGACATGAAGCGCCGCGGCATGAAGGTCGACGGATGCCTCCCCTTGCTCGAGCTCCTCCTCCAGCACCAGGAACCCAAGCGGGACTAGAGCCGGGACCAGGGGGACCACCCTCCTTGCGCACCCCCTTTCTGCCCCTCCATGTAGGGCTGGGTCGTGTCGCGTCGTTACGCCGACTGCCAGCTCGCCGCGCCAGCGCAGTGACAAGTCTCGCCAGTCGGCAAATGGACCACTAGACAAGCTGCGAATTTAAGCACTTTGGTACAACCAGAATTTCACGTAGAGCACGATTCCAGAATCTAAAGTTTTTGAAATCAACCCCTCACTAAGATATTAACGTTTCTATCTTATCGACAGAGCACAGGGGAGAATTTCACGAGCCGCCCTGCGCCGTCTACAGAGCGCATGGCGCACGACCCGCCTTTCATTATTACACTTCATCGAGCGTTGAGAGCTCGCTAATTGCTTCACACGACCAGTGTGTAATTTTAAAAGTCGGAAAAAAAAATAAAAAAATAAATAATTACAGGATACATGAGTTTCTCCGCCAGGGAGCTCTCCCCGCAAGAAATCGTTCACCTTTCGCCCGCCGGGAGAGCTGCGGCGTGCTGCCAGCCTGACGCCTACAAACCTAGAGGGCTACTTCACGCATTGCGCAATGATTGAAGTATCGCTTTAGGTTTGTAGGCGTCAGTGCGCGTTTCGCGCTGGCAGCGCGGCGCGCCGCAGCGTGCTATAACTTGCACACAATTAATAGGTCAGGGTATTAAAATGTAGGCAATTTGACATCAAATTTGAAATTACCGACTCAAAAAACATCACTTTCGACATTTTTGTGATCTTTCGACATTAACCTGCTTATTTCTTCCTATTTTTGAGTTTTGGAAATCCTCCCCTGTGCTCAATCGTTTATCTTACATTGGTTACTGGAGATTTGAGTTGCTCGGTCATAAGAAACGCAATAGGTACTCTACGTGAGTCAAATCGCGCCCTACAACTATTTCGGCCGGCCTCTTCAATCGAGCATTGTTCCTTTCGCGAATAATTTGGTATAGCTGAGCCGAAGCGTCAAGATTGAGGTTGCTATATTTTCGCTCCGCGGAGCCTGCCGCGGTAACGTTTAGTGTGTGATTTGCCTCACGTAGACCATTGAATTTTCATGAGCGGGAGGTTTGAATTCACGCGTCAAGAAACGTTCAATATTTTGGCAAGGAGTTAATTTCAGTAATTTTCGTCGTGCGAATCGTGTTCTCCGCGAAATTTTGGTTAGAAACACGAAGGTATCAGAATGCTTAACTTCGTAGGTACCATGCCTGCGGGCCGATTATTGAAATTGATAGACAAAGCTATAGGCAAAGACGATAAAAGCGATTTGGAGGGATCCTATTGGTGGAAACAGGTGGTGGCAATGGACATAGGAGGTAGGTAATGGACTAACTAACGGCAACCCACTAAAGACCCGACAGTTAGTCCATCATTTACTTCCTTAGTCTATAAGAACCAACCATGTCAACCAATAAGATCGCCCCATACTCCCTATATCTTCTTTGTCTATCGATTTGTCCATCAATTTCAATAATCGCCCCGCTGGTGTTCCATTGATATTTTATGTCTAAGGCAATACTGTCTTTACTTCATCGTTTTCTAGATGGAAGAACGTAATTCCATTCCAGGGTCGATAAATTAACCGAACGAGTCGATTTTTTACCTACAAGATTGCGACTGTGCAATTTCTGTTGAAAATGTCTCTGATTTTTGCGAGTTAACAGAAAAAGTCTGTGAAGTTTTCGGTGAGAAACGCTCTACAGTGTTCTGCAACGTTAAAATTTATGGTCTAAGTGCGAAACCACGTATCTCCGTCTGCAAGGTTGCAGACCTCCCATCATACTTTACTATCTCTTTGGAAAATTAGGCGACATAATTCCTTGAAAACTTTCTTGACTTTTATTCTTTGTTAGCAGTATGTATTTTTTTTCTTTGTATATTTCAAGGTATTAAGTTGACTTGTTCGTCTTCGAAAAAATTGAGTTAGGAGGGGAAATTTTGAAACGCTACAGTGGAGATACGTGGTTTCACACTACGGCCACCGAAATCTAGATAAGTTCATTCGTTTGGGAAATGACGATCTAGCGAGGCAGGCTGCCTCTTTGAAAATCAACTATGTACGAAGGGATGTGAGACTGAGGGTCTCACTAGCATTGCAATGTTGCAAATTTCATTCTACAGTTTACTCATCTTAACTAAAACGGTTGTAAATGTATTTTTTTAAACATTCTAATTTTTGACTATTTCATAAATTGAAGTAATCTTGATTCGGGTTGCCATCAGACTGGCTTAAGTATGAAACAGAGCTTATGAATGTCGGACTACCTTATGAAAAGAATCATCCTGCTGTGAATATGATGTGAATCACTGTCAAGTCAAGTTGCCAGGCAAACTTAAAACTGATGTCTGATTATTTTATGGAACCAACAGGTCAATATGATCATGCTGACTTCAGACTGAAGAAGGTTTTCCCCACAGACAGTCTGCGACATATACACACAGTCATGAGGGAAGTGACTCTCAAAGTTTTTGGATGTGTCTTTAAGTAGCTCCCATTTTTCAGAAACCATTTTTAAAATCAGTTAGTTACCATAACATATTAAAATTAAGGAGGGAGTTAGACTTTTGAACCACCATATGTATGTTTATTCTGGTTTTCAAAAGCACCATTACGTCCTGTCATAACCTGTATTTTGACTTTCACTAAACATAGCAGTGAGTATGTACTTTTTACCAGTAGAAGTCTTAAAATAGTTAATGGACAATCATTAGGAATCTGACTTTGTAAAGTTTGAGCTTATTCACCATTCTTTCTCAGAAAGTACACAATTGCATTACAATTTCCCCCTCATTTTTTACAGTAAGTTTTCAGGGACTCTTGGGCTTACATTGAATGTTTTTTGGCTGTCAATTATTCATGCAAGAATTTTGGGTTTTACACAGGTACATTTGCCTATTTTGTTTCGCTGTTTCGCTCATTAATGCAATTAGCTCTATTTGCGGTCATTCATGTTTGTAGTCTCATTTTATAGATGAAGAGATTGTGAAATTATTGTACATATATTTTTTTATTATTTTTTGTCTCGAAACCTTTAAGTGTCAACTTCTCTGATTAGAAAATCAATTTTTCATTTATTTTAGGCAACATTAAATGAATGCTGTTGTGTTAATTCGCTGAATTTTCGGTTCTTCTGGTCTTAATTGAATCGAGGTATGCGAAAACGTCCGATGTCCAAAAAATCAACTTTTGGTAAACCGCAAAAAACTGTGGAGGCCTTTAGAATCGGCGTTTTAAAGAAAATCAAGGCATGTGTTTCTTAGTAAAGGGTTGTAGAAGAGGCACACAACTGTGTCCCATTCCAACTCCCATTCAGTGCTGAGTAATTTTAAAAAAAGGGCTTTGGACATCGGACGTCTTCGCATACATTGCAAAAATCTGCCCAAAAACCATTATTTTTGACCCCTCCAAAAACCTTTAAACTAGAGTAAAACATAATGTCAGACCTCCAGTAACACAAAAAAAAATATTTCTCTTTTCTTCGAGGCTTCAGTGAAAGTTACGTGACGGCGGAAGAAGAAAAATAATGGACATCGGACGTTTTCGCATACTTTGAGATTGCCCCTCAAGATATGTGTTCAGGATTGCCTAGAATGCATGAAATCGATTAGAATTATATAAAGTAGGGTGAAATTATTCATCTTCAGAGGGTCCTGAACGAGAATCCAAATTTGCCCCCTCGACAAATCATGGGAACCCCCCCGAAAACCCCCAACATCAAAAAAACAGTCAGAAATTGGTTATTTTCTCTCGTTGTTCTGCTACTAGCGCACGTTTTGAGAGCAGAAATTTTTTTCTCATATAATTTCTCATCTATAGGGAGTTCTTAACGAGAATCCAAATTTGCCCCCTCGACCAATCATGGGGACCCCCCCGAAAACCCCTCCATAATCGAAACAACTGTCAAAAATCGGTTATTTTCTCTCGTTTTTCGGCTACCATCGCATGTTTTGGGAGCAGAACTTTTTTTCTCATTTAATTTCTCATCTATAGGGGGACCTTAACGAGAATCCAAAATTGCCCCCTCGAAAAATCATGGGGAGCCCTCCAAGCCCCCCCCCCTCCGATAAAAAAACGGTCAAAAATAGGTTATTCTCTCGTTTTACGGCTAACATCGCCAAAGCCGTTGATTTTAAGACAGAGTTTGTGGATCTCACATGAAAGCAGATAAAAATTCGGTCTTATTTAACCCGGTTTTAAATTTTTCTGATGAAAATTGCGGTCACTACAGGCGCAGTGGCGGTTATGAATTTAAGGCCCGCGCAGCCGCGACACGTAAGAGGCGATGGAGTATCAGGGTGAGGGTGTGTGTGTGTGTCTGTGTGGGGGGGGGGTATGGAATCCCCAGGGACTAGGTGAGTCCGACGGATCTCCCTTGGAAACTTTTGGAAAATTAAGACACTTCAGATCCCAATTTTGTCGATTTCGAGGGGGGGGGGGGTTGGAAGTAAAAATAATGGAGTGGAAAAAAGTACGAGGGTCATCCAATGAGGTTCCCTACCTCTTATCTTCCAAACGGAAAGAGATAAATCAAATTGGTAAAAAAGTTCCTATAAGGCATACTCTAAGCTTTAAAAGAAGCTCAAGTTTTTGAAAATTGGTCGAGGGGTTCGCGAGGAAACTTAATTTTACTGCGACAACTTCCTGTCGCCGCGCGCCCACCTTCGGAGTCTGGATGCGCGGAGAGTCGATTATTTCAGACTTGGGGTTTCGCCGCTAAGCATCATGTCAAAAAGAAATTTGAAGGTTTTTATTGAGTAGACCTTACCTCACTTTTTGACGTAGTCTCCGCCTCTGTTTTGACATTTTTGGTGTCAATATTGCAGCTTCTTGATGCCTTCCGCGTAGAAGCTGGCTCTTGTCTTGGCACCAAAACCAGTCATTGACAAGCCCTCTACACTTCCGAATCAGTTGCTTTGCATAAGAAAATTTCCCTCCATCTTCCGTACTCTTACGATTCAGCCTCATGTGACTTTCGTCTGTTCACTGAGCTGAAAAACTTCCTGGGTGGAAAGCGGAATCCGAATGATTCGGAAGTACAGAGCGCTGTCAATGACGGATTCCGGTGCCAAGACAAGAGCCAGCCTCTACGCAGAAGGCATCAAGAAGCTGCAATATTGACACCAGAAATGTCAAAACAGAGGCGGAGACTACGTCAAAAAGTAAGGTAAGGTCTACTCAATAAAAACCTTCAAATTTCTTTTTGATATGATGCTTAGCGGCGAAAACCCAAGTCTGAAATAATCGACTCTCTGCGCATCCAGACTCCGAAGGTGGGTGCGCGGCGACAGGAAGTTGTCGCAGTAAAATTAAGTTACCTCGCGGACCCCTCGACCAATTTTCAAAAACTTGAGCTTCTTTTAAAGCTTAGAGTAAGTATGCCTTATAAGAACTTTTTTACCAATTTGATTTATCTC